GTGGGCGTGGCTGGGTGGGGCGGGGCGGGTGCGTGGGTGTAGGTGGAGCCAACTTCACGGGGCGGGGCCAAACTCCCTGGGGCGGAGCACCTGGGATTCCAATCCTGCCTACCCTGTGGAATTCAGTTCCCGCTGGAAGAGCGCCTTAAAGTTAAGCCATGCAGCTTGCCCCAGCCAGAATTTATTAAGCATCAGGACCAGCAGGTGGCATGATGGTTAAAGTGTTGGAATTCCCACATGGCTGGCTGTGGTTCGAGTCCCAGACCTGGTGGCTTGCTTTCTCATTCTTTTTTTTTCTCTCTCTCTCTCTCTCTCTCTGTTTTTCTCAGGCAAAACTCAAATGAGCCAGTAGTAAATAAATAAATTAGATAGTTATTTAAGAAAAAAAGAATTTATTAAGCATCTACTGTGTGTAAAGAGTATTTAGAGGAAGTAGATGCTGTCCTTGTATTCATTTTGCTTTGTTTCAAAGAAATTACTTCATTCGGGCTAGCAAGTGGCTTGGTGGTTAAGGTGCTGGACTTCTACGCCACTGACTACAGTTCAAGTCCTGGATCTGGAGGCTTGCTTTCTCACTCTTTCTGGTCAAAAACCAAATTGTTTACATGGGACCAGCAGATGGAGTAAAGGTTATGTTGCTGGACTCTCATATAGTTGACTGTGGTTCAACTCCTGGACTCGGCGGCTTAAAACTCATGCCAGGTCCGTGTGTGTGTGAGCCCAAAATCCTGAGAGGAGAACGGAGGAGAAGGCATTGTGGCATGGCCATCCTCCCTCAGGGGTGATTTCTCACTTTGTGTTGCTCCATCTCTCTATGTCTCTCCAGCGAGCGCATGTACACTAAAGGGATCTGGGCCAGCAGGTGGCGTGGTGGTTAAAGGCACTGGATTCCCACATGGCTGACCATGGCTGACTGTGGTTTGAGTCCCGGACCTGGTGGCTTGCTTTCTCTTGCCCTTTCTGTCTCTCTCTGGTCAAGTTTAAATAATAATAACTAATGGAATTAAATAAATAATTATTTTGAAAATAATAATTAAGAAAAAAAAAAAGGAAGGGATCAGCAGATAGTGTAGTCGACGGCAGTTGGAGCCCGGGACCCAGTGATTTAAACCCATGCCAGGCGTGTGTACATGTTTGCTCAACATCTTGAAAAGATAATGGAGAAGGGATTGCATTGTAACTGCTACCCCTGAGGTGTGATTTCTCACTTTCTGCCTCTCTGGTGAGTGCATGCATCTTATCTTTTTTAAGAACTTTTCTTAAAAAAAAAATAAAAATAAAAATAAGGGCTCACAGGTGACGTGGTGGTTAAGGCGCTGGACTCTCAACTGGCCAATTGCAGTTTGAGTCCCGGACCTGGTGGCTTGCTTTCGCACTTTGCTTCTCCCTCTAGCGCTGTCCCTCTCTGGTCAAATTAAAAATAAGTAACTATGGGGGCGGCAGGTGGTGCGGTTAAAGGTGTTGGCCAACCACGGTTCAAGTCTAAGACCTGGTGGCTTGCTTTTTCCCTTTCTCTCTCTCTCTCAGATCAAACTGGAAAAGAATAAATACAGTTAATAATAATAATAAATACAGTTAATTCTTTAAAAAATTAAGTAAATAAGGGACCGGCAAGTATATTGGTGGTTAAAGGCACTGGACTCCCACATGGCTGACCACGGTTCAAGTCTCGGACCTGGTGGCTTGCTTTCTCACTTCCTCTCTCTCTCTCTCTCTCTGGTCAAACTGGAAAATAATAATGATGATAATAATAATAATAATAAAGTTATATAAAAGAATTACTTAAAAAATAAGTAAATAAGTTAATTTTTTTAAAAAATGCAATTAAATAATTCTGTTTTAAAATAGAATCCTTTAATGATGATAGACCAGAGAAAGACAGAGGGGGAGAGAGAGAGAGAGAGAGAGAGACAGAGAAGGGGAGAAAACAAGCTGCCAGGTCTGAGACTCAAACCACAGTCAAGCATGTGGGAGTCCAGCATCTTTAACCGTGATACTACATGCCGGCCCCTAATTAAGTAATTCTTTTAAAGGAAAAAAAATATATATTTTTTGGAGAGCTTTTTGCTATAGGGCACATGCGCTCGCCAGACAGACAGAGAGAGACAGAGAGACAGAAAGCGAGAAATCACCCCCCAGGGGGGATGGCCACGCCGCAATCCCTTCTCCTCCATTCTCCTCTTGGGATCTTGGGCACGCACGCACACGCACCCGGTGTGAGTTTAACTAACCCACTGGGTCCGGGACATGAACCACGGTCGACTACGTGGGAGTCCAGCGACATAGCCATTACGCTAACTGCTGGTCCCCCTTCCTGACCGTCTTAAGCTCTGCATCGTCACCTCCCCTCAGCCCCACTGCCTTAGTAACTGGTCTCAGCAGCATCAGCGTCGTTCACACTGGATCTCACTGGGGAGCAGGAGTCATTGCCTGGCTCTGGGCACCGGCTGGGCCAAAGCTTTGGCCTCTTGGGCCAGCCCAGGTGGTGAGGGAAGGAGGAGGTGAGGGCACCCAGATCTTTGGCCCACATTGAGACGACCACAGGAGGAAAGATGGCGCTCGACCAGGTTCTCGGGTAAGCCGGCTAGGGAGCAGTGGAGGGGGAGCAATTTGTTGGTTGTTAGAGATCACCTTGGGACCTAGTTAAGGTGGTCAGGAGCCTGGCATGGCTGGTTGTCTCTCTCTCTCTCTCTCTGTTTCTCCTTTCCTTCTCTTTTTAGATTTTTATTATACGATGCGTGCACTAGCATGATTTTCTTTTCTTTTTTAAAGAGTTATTTAATTTTATTTATCCATTTATTTATTTTAATTTGACCAGAGACAGAGAGAGAAAGTGAGAAAGCAAGCCACCAGGTTTGGGACTCGAACTGTGGTCCACCAAGTGGAAGTGTCCAGTGCCTTAACCACCACGTCATCCGCTGGTCCCAACCAGCAGTGTGATTTTCAAGGCACTGGGTCTGGTACTCAAACCGTAATCTGTCTTTTTTGTTGTGTATTTTTTGTTAAAAGAGAATTTTTTTTTTTTTGAAGAGGTTTTTGCTATAGGGCACGTGCGCTCGCTAGAAAGACAGAGAAAGACAGAAAGCGAGAAATCACCCCCCAGGGGGGATGGCCACGCCGCAATCCCTTCTCCTCCATTCTCCTCTCGGGATCTTGGGCACGCACGCACACGCGCCCGGCGTGAGTTTAAGCCACCAGGTCTGGGACTCAAACTGATCGACTCCATGGGAGTCTAGTGACGTAGCCATTACACCATCTGCTGATTCCCAACAAGTATATATTATTCAAAGAACTATTTTATTTAACTTTATCCATTGATTGAATGATTGATTGAATGATTTTAATTTGACCAGAGAGAGAGAAAGCCGTCAGGTCTGGGACTTGAACTGCTGTCGCCATGTGGGAGTCCAGTGCCCTTAACCACTATGCTTCCAACCCCCGTTTCTTTCTAAAGTTTATTTTGTGACACGGTCTTGTCACACAGCAGTCCCCTTTTTCCAGCCCTCCTGCTCCTCGGGATCTCGGGCACCCGTACACATACCCAGCACGTGTTCAAGCTGCCCAGGGATCCGAACCCATGGTCGCCCACGTGGCTTCCAGTATCTGGCCAGGCCTTTTTGGGAGGGAGAGGTCCGGCGTGACGCTAGCGATGCCCTGTCCCTCCGCAGGTGTTGGCTCAGCAGGGTGAATACAGCGAGGCCATCCCCATCCTCAGGGCGGCCCTGAAGCTGGAACCTTCCAACAAGGTGAGAGGGTTGGGGGTTCCGGGGGCCTCTGTGCCGGCCAGACTGGCAGGTCCCCCTTCTGGCTCTCTGACATTTCTCCCTGGGCGGTGGAGGGGAGGAGTAGCTCAAAGGGTCCTGGTCGGCTTGCAAAAGACCCCCATGACTTCCCATCGGGTCCCAGCCAGGGACCGAGGAGACTGCCAGCCTGCCTAATGCCCGTGTCCTCGCCGTCCCTTCTGGAACATTCCTCTGTCCCACTCACCTGTGTTTGATTCATCCCATTCACTGACTCCATAGCAGATACGGATAGAAACCCCTGTGTTAGTGATGCCCAGAGAGGAGATCTTATTTATTTATTTATGTATTTATTTATTTGGAGAGGTTTTTGCTATAGGGCGCGTGCGCTCGCCAGACAGACAGAGAGAGACAGAGAGACAGAAAGTGAGAAATCACCCCCCAGGGGGGATGGCCACGCCGCAATCCCTTCTCCTCCATTCTCCTCTCGGGATCTTGGGCACGCACGCACACGCGCCCGGTGTGAGTTTAAGCCACCGGGTCCGGGACTCGAACGGCGGTCGCCTACATGGGAGTCCAGCGACGTAACTGTTAGGCTCTCTGCTAATTCCGAGAGGTCTTTTCTGAGGTTGCATTGCCAATAGAAATGCCTGAGACTGGGTGATTTATGAAGAAATACGGGATTGGGGCCAGGTGGCATAGAGGTTAAGGTGCTGGATCCCCCAAGGCCGACTCCAGAGTTCAAGTCCCAGACCTGGCGGCTTAAAAGTCAGTGCTGGTCACGTGCATGCCCAAGATCCCGAGAGGAGAATGGAGGAGAAGGGATTGAGGCATGGCCATCCCCCCTGGGGGGTGATTTCTCGCTTTCCGTCTCTCTGCCTGTCTCTGTCTGTCTGGCGAGCGCACGCGCCCTATAGTGAAAACCTCTTCACCCTTGCCCTCCCCCCCCCCGTGGTCCCCACCCCCCTGCTCTCAGCCCAACCCCTGCCCACCTCCTGCCTCCCACAGACGATCCACGCAGAGCTCTCAAAGCTGGTGAAGAAGCACGCGGCCCAACGGAGCACGGAGACAGCCCTGTACCGGAAAATGCTGGGCAACCCCAGCCGGCTGCCCGCCAAGTGTCCTGGCAAGGGTGCCTGGGTGAGCCGGGGCTGGTGGGCAGAGGGGAGCTCCTAAGGGCGGGGAAGAGGCTATAGGCCGCAAACACCAGGCAGAAGGATTTTCTTCCTTCTGCAGGATTGGATGTCCTTGGTCATTGGGAAATCCGGGGAGATGGTGGGGACATAGTCCCTAACCCTGTGTGACAAGGCCAGGGCTAAAGGACCCAGAGGGAAATAGAAGCTTTTCCAAAGACGAGGCGTCCTGGTGGAGGGGCTATTTGATTTGGGTTTTGACGTACAAGTAGGAGTTTGCCAGGCAGAGATATGTTGGGAGGACCATTGAGATCTCGCTAGGCGCTAAGGCCCGCGAGGCCCGTCTTGACTGCCCTCCAGCTGTCTCCTCTCCCTTTTCTCCACAGTCCATCCCCTGGAAGTGGCTGTTTGGGGCGACTGCTGTGGCCCTGGGGGGCGTGGCGCTCTCTGTGGTCATCGCTGCCAGGAATTGATCAGCCAGGCGTCTGCCATCCCCCCTGCGCACCGTGGATCCCATCCCGCAATCCCTAACGTCCCCAGGCTCCCTGTCCCCCGCCTTCCCCGGCCTAGTTCCCTCCTCCTCCGGGCTGGGGACAGCGAAGTTTGGGAATCCAGGAACCCGGCAAGCAGGAGGGACTGAGGCCCTTTACAGAGGCGAGTCAGGCGGGGCCAGAGCACCATGTCCAGCCTGGAGGGAGGGGCCCTCAATTCCCCAGTTCTCGCCCCGACCCCGACCCCCCCCCTTAGGTCTCATCGGGACCAGCCTCAGTTTCTCCTCAACAGGCCTGGGGGCAGCCTTTCCCTGACCCAGTCCCTGCCCAAGTGCCAGCCCCTCCTGTCCCGCCTGCTGTCCTGTCTCGGCTCCTCCCTGACCATGAAATAAAGCCTCCCACCCCGCGCACTGCTGGCTCCGACTTCTTCCTCTGCCACTGCTCAGGCCCGGCCCAGAGACGGCATGCGACGTCCTCGGGACACACAGCACGGTGGACGTGCCGAGCCAGCTGGAGACAGGTCTCCTCTGGTGCATGCCAGACCCTCTTTACAGGGGGAGGTCGAGGGCTAACGCAGTGGGGCGCAAGCCCTGGGGGTCCGTGGTCAGCTCCCCCTGTCACCCCAGGATTTTGCCCTTGTCCTTTGGTTTCTCGAAGTTGGGGACCTGGATGGGCCCTGAGAAGCTGCTCCACGATTCTGCTGTGGGGTCACCCCTTTACTTGGTGGGTGGGTGGCAGAAGCAGGGTCCGCTGAGGGCTGGCAGGTCGCGGAGTGGTTGAAAGGCACTGGACTCCCGCATGGGCGACCACAGTTCGAGTCCCGGACCTGGTGGCTTGCTTTCTCACTTTCTCTCTCCCTCGCCAAATTAAAAATAAATAAGCAAATAAAATAAAGTTAAATAAAATAATTCTTTAAAAAAAAAAATTAAGGCGCTGGACTATCACATGGCCAACTGAGGTTCAAGTCCTGGACTTGGCAGCTGCTTTTCTCACTTCCCTCTCTCTCTGTCTCTCTCTGATCAAAACTGGAAAACAGAAGTAATTTAAAAAGAAAAGAAACAGGGTCCCTGGCCTCAGGCAGGTGGGAAGCCCCGTCTGGCCTTGATATGCCCATGTGGCCTTAAAAACTTCAAAACAAAACCCAACCAACAAAAACCAACCTGCCCTAGGGCACTTACGCTTAAACGCACAGCTTGTCTCAAACCACCAGGTCCAGGACTGGACCCACATAGTCACGTGGCATCCACTCATCTTAGTTCCATGCCACCAATTAGCTTAAGTGTTTTTTTTCTTTTTTTTAAAGAATTATTTTGGGACCAGCAGTTAGCGTCATGGCTATGTCGCTGGACTCCCATGTAGTCAACTGCGGTTCGAGTCCCAGACCCGGTGGCTTAAAACTCACGCCGGGTGTGTGTGCGTGCGTGCCCAAGATCCCGAGAGGAGAATGGAGGAGAAGGGATTGCAGTGTGGTCATCCCCCCTGGGGGGGGGTGATTTCTCGCTTTCTGTCTCTCTGTCTCTTGTCTGTCTTGCGAGCGCATGCGCCCTATGGCAAAAACCTCTCAAAAAAATAAAAAAAGAATTATTTTATTAACTTTATTTATTTTATTTTGACCAGAGAGGAATAGTGAAAGAGAGAGAGAGAGGGAAAGTGATAAAGCAAGCCTCCAGGTCCTGGACTTGAACCCTCGTCGGCCATGTGCGTACGTATGCAGTGCCTTGAATCACCATGCTACCTGCCAGCCCCTGGCAAAAACCCTGAAAAAGAAAAAGAACGCAACATGCTGGTTGGTGTGGTGGTTAAGATGGCTGGGTCCTACGCGGTGGCTGTGTGGTTCGAGTCCCGGACCCGGTGGCTTAAACTCACGCCGGGCGCGTGTGCGTGCGTGCCCAAAATCAAGAGAGGAGAATGGAGGAGGGGGGATTGCAGAGTGGCATTTTTTGGAGAGGTTTTTGCTATAAGGGCGCGTGCGCTCACCAGACAGACAGGGAGAGACAGAGAGACAGAAAGCGAGAAATCAACCCCCAGGGGGGATGGCCACGCCGCAATCCCTTCTCCTCCATTCTCCTCTTGGGATCTTGGGCACACAAGCACACACACCTGGCGTGAGTTTAAGCCACCGGGTCCGGGACTCGAACCGTGGTCGACTACATGGGAGTCCAGCAATATAGCCAGTGCGCCAACTGCTGGTCCTGCAAATTAAAGGGGGAAAAAAAATAAATCAACCCATGTGTGTGCTTAAAATCCCAACCGGGTGGAAAAATGAAGGAGAGGGGATTGTAGCAGGATCATGCCCCACGTGGGGTGGCTTGCTCCCTCTCTGTCGCTGTCACCCGCTTTCCCTCTGTCTGCTGAGCCCACGCTCCCTCTTGCAATTAGAAAGGAGGTGGTGGGTGGAACCTACCTGCCACCTGGGTGCCCCTTGGGTCATGCAGCTGAGTGCTAGGAGGAGTCCCCGTGCCACCTCTTCAGCATTCAGCCCCTTTGCTATCTGTCCTGCCCTCAGCCGTAGGGGACTCTGCTGGTGGCCCTGGGGTGGGAGCTGTGCACACCCCAGATAGGATGCCTCTTCGTTTTGCAGTCTCACCAACCTGAGCAACACCCAGCTCCTGGGCGTAGACAGTCTGGCTTGCTGGGTCCGAGACTCGAACCGTGGTCAACTACATGGGAGTTCAGCGACATAGCCATTACGCCAACTGCTGGTCCAAAAATAATGACTAAAAATAGGAAAAGATACCTTGATTCCTGCAGGTGTTGTGAGGGTTAGGGGCGTTGGACTCATAGATGGCCAATCTTGGTTTGAGTCCTGGACCTAGTGGCTCGCTTTCTCACTTTTTTTTTTTTCTCTCTCTCTCTCAGTGTGTCACTCTCTGGTAAAATTAAAAATAAGTAACTAAATAAAGTTAAATACTTTTTTTTTTTTTGCTATAGGGCGCGTGTGCTTGCCAGACAGAGAGAGACAGAGAGACAGAAAGTGAGAAATCACCCCCCAGGGGGGATGGCCATGCCGCAATCCCTTCTCCTCCATTCTCCTCTCGCGATCTTGGGCACGCACGCACACGTGCCCGGCGTGAGTTTTAAGCCACCGGGTCCGGGACTCGAACCACGGTCGACTACGTGGGAGTCCAGCGACATAGCCATTATGCTAACTGCTGGTCCCCAAGTTAAATAAAATCTTACAGAAAAAAAAAAAAGCTTGCACATGATGTACTGCTAAGGGACTGGACTCCTACGTGGTCAACCATGATTTAAGTGCTAGACCCAATCGACAACTTGAAAATCACACTGTGTGTGTGTGTGTGTGTGTGTGTGTGTGTGTGTGTGTGTGCTCAAAATCCCTACAGGAGAATGAAGAAAAATGAACTGCCCTGTCCATCCCCCCAGGGGTTGATTTCTCATTTTCACTCTCTTTGTCTCCCTATTGAATAGATACACGCTAGAGTGAAACAAACAAACAAACATGGGACCAGCAGTTGGCGTAGTGGCTATGTCGCTGGACTCCCACGTAGTCGACTGTGGTTCGCATCCCGGATCCGGTGGCTTAAACTCACACCGGGTGCGTGTGCGTGCGTGCCCAAGATCCCGAGAGGAGAATGGAAGAGAAGGGATTGCGGCGTGGCCATCCCCCCTGGGGGGTGATTTCTCGCTTTCTGTCTCTCTGTCTCTCTCTGTCTGTCTGGCGAGCGCACGTGCCCTATAGCGAAAACCTCTCAAAAAAATAAATAAATAAAAATAAAACACAACTCTTGAAAAACCAAAACAAGGGGCCAACTCCCGCATGCATGGTTGACCGCAGTTTGAGTCACGGATCTAGCAGCTTGAAAGTCACCAGGCACGTGTGTGTGCATGCCCAAAATCTCAAGAGGGGATTGGAGAATGGATTGTGGTATGGCCATCTGCTCTGGGATTGTGATCAGTTACCTTTCCACTCTCTGTCTCTTTTCTCTGTCTCTCTCTGGCGAGCTCACACATCCTCTGGGGAGAGCCTTAAAAAATAAACAGGATTTAAAAAAAAAAAATTGCACATGCTCATAGAGACACTGTTTACCACTGTCAAAAAGAGGAAGCAACCCTGAGATCCATCAGCAGATGAAGTGGTAAATAAGATGTTATCAAAAAAAAATATGCATATCCTGCGGTATTTTACAGCCGTGGAAAGGAAATGGGGGGCCAGCGAGTGGCATGGTGTGGTGATTAAAAGCTCTGGGGTCTCAACCTGGTGTTTTAAAGTCACACTGGGGTGGGGGACAGCAGGTGGCATGGTGGTTAAGGCGGTGGACACTCCCACATAGCCGACCAAGGTTCCAGTCCCAGACCCGGTGGCTTGCTTTCTCCCTCCTCCTCCTCTCCTCTCTCTTTGTTCAAATGTAAATAAATGAATACGGTGGTGGCGTGGTGGTTAAGGTGCTGGACTCCCACACGGCCAACCATGGTTTGAGTCCTGGACCTGGGGGCTTACTTTCTTAAATTCTCTCTCTCTCTGTGTCTCTCTCTGGAAGTATTAAATAATAATAATAATAATAAATAAAAGCATTAACATCAGAAATTCTTCACAAAATTTTTTTTAAAGAATTATTTTTATTTGGGAACCAGCGGTTAGCGCAATGGCTATGTCGCTGGACTCCCACGTAGTCGACTGCGGTTCGCGTCCCGGACCTGGTGGCTTAATGCACCCGGTGTGGGTTAAACCACCAGGTCTGGGATGCGAACAGCGGTCAACTACATGGAAGTGCAGTGACACTGCCATTAATCCATCTGCTGGTCCCAGAAATGGGATAGTTCTTAAAAAAAAAAAAAAGTCACACTGCTTGTGTGTGCATGCATGCCCAAGATCCTGAGAGGACAGTGGAGGAGAAGGGATTGTGGCATGGCCATCCCCCTGGGGGGGTGATT